TGCCCCAGTTCTTGGGCAGGGCTGTGTCTGCCACGTCCAGTGGAAGCCATTGTCCAACGTGCACTCGCGAAAGGCTGCCATAAATCAGCCGAGTTTCCTCATCAGCGAGAGGGTAATGGTGTTCCTGGGGGCGTAAGGGGGCTCTCAGAGGTCCAGGGCTGGAGCAGGGAAGGGCCAGGGGCTGCTCAGGGAGAAGAAGCTTTCCTTCAGGTGATAGGTTGGGCTTTCACTTGCCAAGTAGTGGAAGTATCTTCAGATCTGAGAGGGTCCTGTCTGGGTCATGGGTGTCATGCCCTGGCCCTAGCCCATCACACTTGGCCACTGGTGTGCCCAGCCTCAGGCTAGCTTCCCTCAGTAAGGACCTTGACAGGCCTCCTAGAGTGGGGGTAGGAGAGGAGCGTGAAGACTGGCGGGCCTTTGAAGCAGGAAGCCCATGATCCCAACTGTCCCCGCCTCAGTGCAGCCCCAGCAGCTACGGGATGTCCATGCTGCCTGTCTCCTCTTTCCCTAGCCGTCTCCCAGCTCCCAGCAATCCCACTTCTCCCTGTGTGCTCGCCCATGGAGCTTAACCTTCTTTTCGGGGCCTGGCTTGGTCTCTGGTTCTGGTGGTAAACTAGTTACATGAAGGTGTTGAGGGTTATCTAGGACTGACTGGGTTACCTTTCTGAAGATCTGTGCATGTTAAGGGTAACTTTGTGGAAAAAACGACTCATCCGCAGTGGGTCTCCAAGGTGGAGACTTACTTCTAGCGCCCTTGTGTTGCCTCCCACAGCGGTGAGCCCTGGGCCCTCAAGCTCCTGCTTGGCAGGCCTCAGGCCAACCCAAGGGACTCATGAATGGGGAGAAGCAGGCAAGGGTGTTTTTAGAGGAGGTAGATGGGTTATAGAGAGATCCACGCATCTCTCTTCAAAACTATGTGTTGACGACCTGCCATGGGCCAGATGCTGGGTGTCCATTGGTCCCAAGTTCAGCAGGAGGCCAAGAAATGCAAGACCCGAGGTGTGTTCATTTAATTTGGTTCCAGGAGCTTGTGGGGACCTTGGGATGTTAAGGGTGGAAGAGGGGATGAGGAGACAGTAAAGATGAAGTTCAGAAAACAGACTCTTGGTTGGGAATATGAGAATCACAAAGGATGTTTTCTCAACATACCAATTCCCAGCCCTGACTCAACGGCTCTAAGGAAAGGCTGTAAGTACATCTTTAGACCGTCTCTGGTGGGCTTCCAGACTATGGTTGAGAAATGCGCAGATAAGAGTCCAGCCTCTGGGCTCTACCTAGAAAAGGCTTCAGAAAGGCAGAGGATTTTTCTTTCTGTGGCCCTTGTTCGACTTCTTCAGGGTCCCTCCAGGTAGCCAGGCAGCAAGGACACCTGTGTCCCGCTCTGCCACCAATCATGACAGCTTCTGAGACCTCAGCTGTTCTTGTCATAAGTGTCCACCACTCTTCACTCTCCTGGGGTTCAGGCCCCATCAGGATCCCCCAACATTATTTTCTGTTGTTGTCTGGCAGGGGCGGTGAACTTGGGTACCGAGAATGAAAAGAATGGGCATCTTTGGAAGTCATAGACCCAGGGGGGACCTGTTCCAAATGGGTTCGAAAAATAATAAATAAAAACAAAAGCGAAGGGAAAAAAGCTCTTGGGTGCCAGGGTGGGGATGGCCAAGGCTTCGGCTGTCTGAATAACGGGTTCCACATTGGTCTGGCTCTGTCTGCAGCAGCTGGGATCCGGGGTACATGCACTGTGGGGCTTGCAGGGGCTGGAGGGGACAGCTGGGCTGAGGTCAGGCCTAAGCATACCCTTGCAACAGCCCCATCCCCAGCCACAACGTGGCTGAGGCATTCCCGTGAAGCACACTCCAGCATCCCAGCCTCCCCACACCCTCGCCAGAGGCTCCTGGGTCCTTGCCGGCCTTCACAGATTGTTCGAGTTATTAATGCTGTTTCCCAAAGATTCCATCTGGCTTTTTAATTGCTCTAGGATGGGGCTAGGAGGCTTTGATAGTGAACTCGTATCTTTCCTACGTCTCTGCTTACGTCAAATGCTCTGTCCATGCAGAGGGGCATGGAGAAGGGGAAAGGTGGGGGCGGCAGGATCGGGAGAAGGGGAGATAGCACGAGTCTTTTCATGAAGTCAAGAAATATTTTCCAAAGGTGCTGGTGGTTTAGTTTTATTTAAAGAAAAGAAAAGAAAAAAACTCCCTCCCTGCCGCCCACCAGCATAGGAAAGGAACAGAATGGGACCTTATCACTGTCCAGGCAAGGACCCCTGCCCCACGTCTGTGGAAGGTCTGGGGGTGCTCTGGAAGGAGAGGCCCCTGGGCTGAGCAAGCTCAGGGTTTCTGTTCTCCTTGACCTTCACCTGAGCGGCCGCCAACTGCTTCCTCTGCTCCCCACTGAGGAGGTCTGGCAGGTTCCTGCCTGGGAAGGAGGGGGCGAGAGACGTGGGAGGGGCAGACACTCCTCTCCAGTCCCAGTGGCTTATCACAGGTGTCTGGGCCAAACCCCATGCTCATAGATTCCCAGGAGGCCCAGAAGATGAGGGTGGCATCTGTGACAGTGCTGAAGCATCAGGAGGTATCTGGCTGCAAAGGGGCCACCTCCCGTGCTCCCTCCTGCCCTTGCTCCTTCCTGGAAGGCTGGCTCCCCGGAACAGCGACCCGAGATGCCTGGGCTCAGGTGGCCCAGGAGGGGAGTGAGGTCCCTGCTCTCAAGTGCTACCTCTCATGCAAGGCAGGAGCATCCAAGCATCCTGGGACTGGATTCAAGTGGGGCCGCCATCACCGGGTCTGGGTCAAAGCTGCTGCCTCCAGGAAGCTCCCTGTTCACACTTGCAGCTTCTCCTTATCACACGTCACGCTTAAACCACATCTTTGGGCCACAAGGCTGTGAACTCAGGGGCCGAGTCTGCTGAGTGCACAGGCCTGGGCATACAATCCAAACCAAATCCACTGCTGTCGAGTCAATACCAATTCATAGTGGCCCCATAGGGTTTCCAAGGCTGTCAGTCTCTACGGAAGCAGACTGCCACATCTGTCTCCTGCGGAGCCGCTGGTAGATTTGAACTGCCGACCTTTCGGTTAGCAGTTGATGGCCTTAACCACTATGCCACCAGGGCTCCATGGGCACAGAATAATGCGCTGCCGTCGAGTCCATTACGACTCATAGCAACCCTATAGGACAGGGTAGAACTGCCCTGTAGAGTTTCCAAGGAGCAGCTTGTAGATTCGAACTGCCGACCTTTTGGTTAGCAGCCGTAGCTCTTAACCACTGCGCCACCAGGGCTCCAAGAGGCATCCAATAAATAAATACTCGGGGTGCTCTTGGAGTGGTTCTTCTCAAAGGCTGCAGTCAGGACGGGACCCGTGAGGGCCTGAAGGAAGCAGCGGTGATGAAGCAAGGCCCTCCCTGGGAGGCCTCTCATGCTGGGCAGTGTGCAGCGGGGCAGGTTCACCCCACAGCGGCCTGAACCGCCCCTACCCCCCGCAGGCTGCTCTGCCTCCTCTGGGCCCCACTGCCCCCATCCCTTTCCTGGGGCTAGATGTGGTTGGATTCATCTCGTCCTCCCCGAAGTCCCGCCCCGGACCTCAGGATCTGAGGTCTGAGGGAAACCCCGGGAGATGGTAAGGTGGGGCGGGGAAGGGAGGGCCGGAGGGCGCCCCTCCCCCGCTCATCCTGGGACTTGTTCTGGGGGCAAAGGGGGAAGCCCAGGATTGGCCCCCTCAAACAAGAAAAACTGGAATTAGTGCTGAACTCAGAGAGGGTTTGCTGGGTGCCTAGCAAGCTGTGGCCTGTCCCAGGCCTCTAGGCAGGCAGTTCCCAGGGCGGGAGGGCAGGCCGCCTCCTCACTGGGCTCCTGGCCTCTCCTCCCCAAGGGCTGCCATGGGGTAGGAGGTGGTGAGGAGGAAGGAGAGAGAGGGGAGGAGGAGCAGGGGCAGGGGACAAGTTGCCCTCTATAACCGCACAGGCAGGTCAATTTAAAGCTTTCCGAATTGATAAAGAATTTGCCATTTCTCAAAAATGCTCTGTCCACACTGGCATGTATTACAAGCTGCACAATGAAAACAAAAGGTGAAATGTGCTTTGCCTTTTAGCCTCAGAGAGGGTAACAACTGAAAAAGCGCTGTCAGCCTCCTAGGCTACTTCCTGTCAAGACTGAGGGAGCGCCCTCCCTTGAGTGGGTGCCTCTGCCGCTAACGGGGTGCTCGGGTGCCTGTCCTCACGGGACAGCCATGGGAGGGGGGTGTCAGCAGGAGTCAGCCTCCTGCTTGGTCTCCGCCGGGGACAGGGGCGAGGGCTGCGGTTGGGGGCCTGGTTCGGGTGGCGTGTGGGCAAAGGTGGACATCCAGGTGGAGGCAGCTCCAGCCCATGGCAGGACTGTGGTGGCACTCCTCCTGTGGGGGGCTGGGGCCCAGCAGGTCTGGGGGTGGGGGTGGAGAGGTGCACAGCTTCAGGGCATCGCTGGGGTGGCTGTAGCCACATGGCCCAGGGAAAGCAGGGAGGGCTGGAGGGCCCCACCGCTCAGGCTTCTTCTTGCCTGCCCTGGTCCTGTTGGCGGGGAGAGCCAGGCTGCTCAGAGCTGGAGCTGTGAGTGACTTGGAAGCACGTGTGGTCAAGGGGTCCCCTGAGTGCTGGGCTGGGTCTGCGAAAGTTCCGAAGAGGCGCTGGAAGCCTCAGGCCGAAGACTCCCTCTCGAGCCCCACTTTCCCCAGGGGAAGATGAGAGGCCACACCAAGGGCCCGTGCCCCCACCCCAAAAAGAGACACTCTCTTGGGGCTCTGGGCGTTCTCGGCTTGGCGCCTTGTCCTGCCCCTGCCGTTCATCTGCCTTGTTTGGGAAAAGTCAATCCCTAAGGTAAAGGGGGGCTCAAGATGGGTGGAGAGCTAATGAAAGTCAGGCCCACAGCCAGAAAATACGCTGTGATTATTTACAAATGTGACCGGGCCCACAACAAACCTTGGAAGTAGCTTCTTTCTGGTTTTAAAAAGACACCAAAATTCACTTTGATACGTTTATATTATAGATATAATACATAAAACCCCTAGCATGAAACTCTATGATCTCCCAAAAACACGAGACTCAAACTGTCCTTTCCTGCCCTGGCCCCCAGCAACTGTGTTCCCGGCTGCATGTTGGCTAGGAGCCGCCTCCTTTCCAGACCTGGAGCCAGGGCCTCTGGGGGGCCAATCCTGTGGGCAGCTTGGGCTGGAGGGGACCGAGGCCCACAACCACCCCCAGAGAAAGCTGAGGGGGAGGGGGAAGCCCACCTCACCTCCTTGGTCCCACTGGAGCAAAAGCAATTCCAAAACCAAAAGGAAAGAGAGCCTCGGACCCTCCCCCACACTGCGGACCAAGAGTCTCATTTTGGCAAGTATCTGAGCAAAACCAAAACAAAACAAAAACCAAATAAAATGGTGGTTTAGCAGAGACTTGCACATTCACATTGCACAAGGCACCTCTGGGACACAGAGAGGCCAGACACATGCGTTGATATCGGCTGATGAAGCAAAATATCTGGAAACCTTCTTGTAACTCCGGTCCCTCTGGGATGGACTGATTGTCCTTCATGTTTCTATAGCAAGCTGGTGACACACAGAAGGGACAAGGCGATGCTCCCAGTGTCCCTTCACCACCACCACCCGCCCCCCCAGCCCCAGACAAGAACTCTAGTTCCTCTCTTCCACCAGGCCACCACTCCCATGGACACATGTCCTTATGGCTAACCTATGGCCTAGCTTTCTGGTCTGGCTTGGGGAGGGGGTACTCCCAGCGTTCACCTGGTGACCCCCATCTCAGTGAGTCGGCCAGGGGAAGCCCAGCCTGTTGCAGGCTTGGAGGGGAGAGGCGAGGGACTAGGGACCCTCTCCTTCCTGCAGACCTAGGGGAGCAACCTCGGGTTCAAAGCTCCCAGTCCCTGTGTTTCTTCCCCTGCAAGGAGAGGTGCAGAGAACTCGCCTGGTAGGATCAGCTACCTGAACTTTCCTCCTGCGTGGGTCTCCACCCTTTCTTCTCTCATGGGGGCTTGCTGCAGCCTCAGGAAGGAGGCAGGAACCCTCCAAATAAAATGGCAAGGCACATATTTGCTCCCCCTACTCGGTAGGAATTGGAGCGGTGAGTTTGCGTTTCCAAGGCACAAGGTTATTCCTTAATACTAGAGTTGCCGGGCTCCCGGCTCAGCCCCAGTGCGCTTCTCCCCTCTCCCAGGGAGAAGCCACTGCCTGGCCCCTCATCTCAGAGGCGCCGAGTCCAGCGCAGAGGAAGGGCGGGGACACGCGGGACAGGCCAGGCATTCAGGGATCTCCTAGTCCTGGCTTGCGAGGCTTGGGCAGCCTCGAGATCCGGCGACCCGAAACCACTCCCCAGGTCCCCGCCAGGGGCCGGCCCAGGGCGGTCCCGCCGCGGCGCCTCACGCGCAGTTGCCCATGGCCTTGACCAGGGAGCTTTCAGGCAGCTGGCGGAAGATGCCCCGCAGCGTGTCCAGTTCGCGACTCAGCTGTTCCACCCGCTTGCGCAGGCGGTCATTGTCACTGGTCAGCTCCAGCACCTTCTGCTGCGTCTCCACGTTGCGCTGCTTGGCCTTGTCGCGGCTCTTGCGCACCGCGATGTTGTTGCGCTCGCGCCGAACCCTGTATTCGTTGCTGTTCTTGTCTACCGACTTCTTCGCCTTGCCCGCGCCGCCGCCGCTCCCGCGAAGGTCTGGGTGCGCGGCCGCCAGCCCCTTGAGCGTGCCGCCTGGGCCTGGCAGGCCGGCGGCGCCAAGCGCAGGCGCTGGGTGCGGGCTGGGCACGGGTGTAGGTGGCGGCGTGGGGTGGCCAGGCTGCAGGTGCATGGTGGTCTGGCCGCAGTGCGCGATCTGGAACTGCAGGTGCGGGGCGGCCAGGTGCGCGGACGGCGGGTGCGGGTGCGGCGGCGGCGGCGGCGGCGGCTGGTAGGGGAAGAGGCCGGCCAGCGCCAGCTGCTTCGCCTCGTCCTCCTCGCGCGGCTCCTGCTTGATCACCAGCGGCCGCAGCGCCGGCGCCCCGACGCGCTCGTACAGAGGTTCCAGCCTGCCGTCCAGGTAGCCGGCCGCCGCGCAGCCGTAGCCAGGAAGGGGGCCGTGCGCCCCGCCGGGCATGACAGAGCCGCCGGAGCCCGCCGGGGCGCCGGGGTAGTCGAAGTCGCTGCCGCCGCCCGCGGGGGCCGCGGCTGCCTTGGCCTTCTCCTGCTGCCGGCTGTGCTGGAACAGGTCGGCCAGGAACTCGTCGTTGAAGGCGGCCGGGTCGATGTAGGCACTGATGTCGATAGACGTCTCGTGTTCGCAGATGCCGCCCAGCGGCTCCGGGGCGGCAGGTGGGGGGAGAGGCTGCGCGGGGCCCGCGCCTTGGGGAAAGCCGAAGGCGGCGCTGCTGGGCGCGTGCGGGGGGCTCTGGAGGTGGCTGCTCATCGGGGGCCGCGGCTCCGCCTCGTAGAAGTCGGCTGACTCCATAGGGGAGCTAGAGTCCTGCCGGCATGGCGAGCCTCGGCGGCCCCAGCCTGCGCGGGACGCCGCTGCCGCCGCCGCCAACCCGAAGCCCCGGTAGCTCGCGCCCGCGCAGATCCCGGTCGCGAATGGCCAGGCCCGTGCGGGCCCCGCATTTATACCGGGGCGGCCGTCGCCCTCTAGTGTCCACTACGTCTACCACCAGCGGCGGGAGCGGCGCCTCCTGGGTCTTAGTGCCGGCCCTCAGTGGGCGGTGAGTGGGGCCCGAGCGCAGCGCTGGCGGGGGAGAGGCTGCGGCGCAACGCCCACTGCCCCCCGCGCCATAAGCCAAACCGTTGCAGGCGCGCCGTGCCGGACCTTGGACCGAGCCGTCGCCCCGCTCACACGTGGTGGGTAGAGGGCTCCCCTCCGTTGGCCTCCCCAAGGCACCCACTTCCAGCCAACGGCCGGGGAGCCTGGGTGCACCCAGAGGCCACGCAGGGGGTGGTCGAGGGTGACTCTCGGTCTCCGGGCTAGTGTGACGCAGACCTGCTTTAAAAGTGCGAAATCAGCTCCGTCCGGGACCAGGGTCCCCTGGAAGGCGGTGGCGCAGAGCGTGGTGGGGGTACTGTTTTGGACGCGCCGCCCAGCTCACACCGCGGCGCCGAGGCCGAAGGGAGTGGGTCGGCGCGCGGTGACTGCGTCTTCTCCGTCCGATCTCCAGGCCCCACCGATTCCGCAAAGAAGCACCTCTGCTCCGCTCCGCCTCTCGGGGGACTCCAGGGTCCCACGAGCCTTGCAGCGAAGGGCGCTAGGACCTCGCGGGGCGAGCGGAGGGGAGGGAAGCGGAGGCGGCCGCGGCTCCGAGCCGGGACGACTCGGCCGGTCGATCCGCCAGGGCTGGAAAAGTTTTCGTCTTTAATCTCTTCTCGGGGCCCAGCGCTATGGTTGGCTAGCTGAGCCGCCAATTATTTCTTGTGGGACGGGCGGGCAGGGTCCCGGGCGGGCCGAGCCGGACTCCCCGGCTGGGGTCTAGGGCGGGGGGTTTGAACTGGACTCGGAGATGGAGACCCCGAGGTGGGGCGAGCGAAGGTGGACTAGAGCCGAGCGGAGTTGGCGGTCGGCGGGGTCCGAAGCCACTGCTTTCTCCCCCAACATCCCCATACAGGTGGGCTCCGACGGCGGGGGCGTCGAGGGAGCCGGGGTCTTGTAGTGCCTGGCCGCGGAGTCCCCGGGCTTGTGGCCCCAGATCTGAGCACCCTCTGGGAGAACCACGCCGGGTGGACTCCGCGGTCCAGGCGCTGGGGCCTCTGGATCCTGGGGGGCCGGGCGGCTAGGCCCGGGGTCCTCTGGACGCCGCACCGCTTATGCGCTCACCGCTGCCAGGGAAAGGGTTTGCGGCTGCGCGTCTCCCCAGCCACGTGGCGCCCCGCGAGTTCTCTCCCGGGAATGCCGGGCGGCCGGGGGCGTGGGGGCCGAGTGGGCCCGCCAAGTCGCTCCTGCCCGTCCTCAGCCGTGCCTTACTACTTCTTGGGCTGAGACCCGCCGCCGCCTGGGTGCAGGCTTGAGTGCGCCTGCTCCTGGTCACCGTACCGCGCAGGTCAAGGCCCCCTTCCACACAACGGCCTTCCAAGGTTTTCGAAGGCGCCACAACCCGCCCAGGAGCCCTCGCATAGGTGCAGCGCAGAAAGCAGTTGGGGAGTCCCGATCTTCCACTGTGGTTCCAGTAAAGAAGCCACTTCGTCTGGGGAACGCAGATTGCGCTTTAATCAAATTTCTATTCAACATATTCCCGATGATTAATGGCCCAACTGCTTCGTTTTCGGTCCAGAGCTCATAAACAAGATATTTTTAGCTTGATGCTCTTGGATTGAGGGAATAAAAAGCAGATACATTAAATAAATAACCTGCTGGGAGCTGAGGCGCTGCTCTCTGGGCCAGATGCGAGACCATTTACACACCAGGCGCTGTAGAGACCTGGAGGGAATCCGAAAACCTCGGGTCGGATTTTCCTTTTTTTTTCCTGCTGTGCTAAAAACAATGGCTTCTCGCAGTGTGGGAATAACGAAAACACTATTGAAGGTGCCCTCCTCCTGGCACGGACAGATGTGGAAGGGAGGCGACACCTCAGCCTATCCACTGAGTTGCCGATTCCTGTGCAGGCCGTGGGAATTTCTCCGACTGGAAGTAACCGCTGTGCCCCAGGACTGGGAGAACAGCGGGGAAAGGCCTTGTCCAGGCTACAGTGTGGGAGCGAGAGAGGCGCTAAGTGGGGCTCCCACATCCAGGGCCCGCAGGGCCTCCTCCGGGGGGACCAGCATTCTCCCCGAGGCCTGCTCTGGGCAGGGTGGGAGTGCCCAGAGCTGAGTGAGAAGCGGCCCCTGCCCTCCCCCAGCGCAGAGCACAGTCGGACAGCCGGACAGGTCACCACACAAAGGCTTCTGGAAGAGAAGGGCGCTTCTCAGAGGAGGCGTGCTGAAAGAGCAGGGGACAGAAACGGGCAGAGGCACTCCCTCCATTTATTCCATTTATTCATCTAGTGTCTGTAGGAGACAGGTACGAGGACAGAGGGTACGCCATGTTAAGGACGTCCTGCCCTGGGGAACTCTGGAGGAGGTAGGAGCCGGGAGGTCAGAGAGAGGATCCTGCAGGAGCGGACCTTTGAGCTGCGCCTTGAAGAATGAGCAGGCATTTGCCAGAGTGATAAGAAAGAAAGGCCTGTCTAGGAGGAGGGAATGGCAGGTGCAAAGGGGGAGATGCTGCGGGTGCATGGCGTGTTCTGGTGACAAAGGACAAGAGGTTTGACTGGCGGGAATGTAGGAGAGTTGGAAGAGGGGCCAGGATAAGGCTGCGTCCACAGAGGGTCTGGGTTGATGTGAACGCAGCTCCAGGAGAAGCAGTGTGGACCTTACATCACAGGCATTTGCCCTCCAGGTTTCAGCAGGAGAGTGCTGTGGCCCAGTTTGGGTTCCTGAAAGAAAGGCCACTCTGGCCGGGGGTGGTGAGGAAGAGTGGACCAGATGAAAAACGGTGGAGACTTGAGCTGAGGTCCCAGGGCGGGGAGATAGAGGGCAGGGGTGGGTTTGAGCGATACTAGGGAAGAGGAGAGAAGTCGGGACTTGGCTTCTGGCTGGGGTTACCATCCCCTACATCCGTAATTCAGGGAAAAGGGAGGGCCTCCCCTCCAAGCCCCAGGTGGCCACAGGGGATTCACCACCCTCAGGACACCCGCCTGTCCTTGTTGTGGTTCTGGAGAAGAGGACCATGGCCCAGGAATAGCTGCCAATGCCCACCTGCCTTATTCTGGCTTTTTCTTTGAGGCCTAAGAGACTACCTGGGATGAGGAGGAATCGGGTTAGAGGGCAAGTAGTGGTCTCTGGGTGGGCTGGCTGATGCTCACAGCTGAGGGAGCACCCAGGGGCCTGAGGAGCGTCCTGGAGCTGCCTATGCCGTGAGGCAGGAATTGACTAGAGAAACTGGCTGAGCCTCCAGGGGTGGTGAAGCTATTTTCTTCCATGGGAGGCACCCAAGGGTGCAGGGTGGGGGAGCGGGGGAGAGGTAGCTTGCTGAGACTCGTGAGCCGTCAGCACTTGGCTGGAGAAACAGGAGTAACTGGGAATCACCTGGGAGGGAGATGGCTCTGTGGCTCACTTGAGACAGAACCAGTAATAGGAGAAGCTTGTAAATCCTGTCTCTGACCACCTTTAAGATCCTTTTTCTCTTGTCTTACTTGATGATAAATTGGCGGTCGTGCAGAGAGATCCGAGGGAGGGCACTCCAATACAGTTTTACCTAAGTGTGCTGAGCAGGCTGTGGAGCTGTGGATGGGGACCCCTCTCTGACAGGGCTGCCAGCTCAGCAGGGGCAGGGGGAGATGACAGCCACTGGCACATACCCAACAAACTCTGACTGTGGCTTTTCTTTTTCCAAAGGAGAAAATCGGCAACTGAAGTGACAATGCACTTAATAGGTGTGCTGTGTGCCCCTGACAGCTCAGGGGAGGAGGCTGCTGAGCTGGGGAAGGCAGGCCAGGTGTGGGCAGGCCAGGTGGGGAGAGGGTGGGCGGGAACCCTCCATAAGATGTGGTCCTGAGTTTTCTGTGCTCCAGGATGAAGTCTGGTTCCAGAGTCATTGACAACGCTAACCATTTTGACAAGACAAACAGGACCCTAGGAAATTTGTATTTTACTTTGATTCAACCTTCCTAATGCAATGCGCACCAGAGGATTAGTACATAAATTTGAAAATCGATCAAATTCTGAAGAGCAAAAACGGAACTAACCCTTCGACCTAGTTTTCTAACTTTATCTAAAGGCACAGTGTGGGTGTAAGATGGGTCACTCAGAAGCAGGACTCATTTAGATAAGAGCCAAGAACTACGATCTTCAGGCACAGTTGTGCTTTGACTGGACGAGTGTGCCTATCTTATATCTAATACAATTTCAGTGAAAGTCCTCTCCAAACCCAAACCCACTGCCGTGGAGTCGATTCCGACTCATAATTGGACAGAGTAGAACTGCTGCATAGGATTAAAGGCTGTAAATCTTTACGGAAGCCAACTGTCACATCTTACTCCCGAGGAGCGGCTCATAGGTTCGAACCGGTCTTAACCACTGCGCCATAGGTATACCGTATAAAATCACAACCATGAATGCTCAGGTTCATGAACAGTCTACACTGTCAAATGCATAAAAATCAGCTGGTTCCAATTTTATTTTAATATTCATCTATTATGGTGTGTGCGGAGACCAGGTGGTGCAATGGTTAAGACCTTGGCTGCTAACCAAAAAGTCAGCATTTTGAATCCACCAGCCACTCCTTGGAAACCCTAGGGGGCAGTTCTACTCTGTCGTATAGGGTCACTATGAGTCAAAATCGACTCGATGGCAATGGGTGTGGGTTTGTTTTTGGTATGGTGTGCGTGTGCGATTTGTTGGTGTTCTCGCTTGTCTGTTCTATTTGCTTGCACCTGCTAGCAGATAAACAGTAGCAGGCACTAAAGATTCTAGAAAAAGAAAGTTGAGTCACATTTTAAACTTTAGAAAATTCTATCCATTATCTTAATTTTGTTTAGCAAATTTGGAAAAGTCCTTTATTCTGTTTTGGGAGAAAAGTCTTTTGTTCGGTGATGGGC